AGAAAGGCGATCCAACAGAATATGGAAATTATCAAACAATAACATTAATATCACATGCAAGTAAACTTTTTCTGAAGATAATTAAAAAATGTTTGTAGGGAACTGCCAGAAATTCAAGTTGGCTTTAGAAGAGGACATGGAATTAAGGATATCACTGCTGGTATCAGATGGATCTTGGCTGAAAGCAGAATATATCAGAAAGATGTCTATTTGTGTATTATTGACTATGCAAAGGCCCTTGACTGTGTGAATCATAACAAATTATGGCTAACATTGGGAAGAATAGGAATTCTAGAACCCTTAATTGTGCTCATGTGAAAACTGTACACAGATGAAGAGGATACAGAATACGGGGATACTGTGTGGTCTAAAATCGGACAGGTGAGCATCAGGGTTGTATTCTTTCACCACACCTATTCACTCTGTTCACTGAACAAATAATCAGAGAAGTTGGACTCTACGGAGAAGAACATGGCATCAGGATAGGAAGAATACTCATTAACAACCTGAGATACGCAAATAACACAACCTTGCTTGCTGAAAGTGAAGAGGACTTATTTCATCTTACTGATGAAGATCTGAAACTACAATCATTAGTATGGATTACACTTCAACATAAAGAAAACCAATATCCTCAGTACTGGTCCATAAAGTAACATCATGATAAATGGAGAAAATATTGCAGCTGTCAAAGATTTCATTTTACTTGGATCCACAATCAATGCCTATGGAAGCAGCAGTCAATAAATCAACTGATGTATTGCATTAGGCAAATTTGCTGCAAAAGACCTCTTTAAAATGTTTAACAGCAAAGATGCCTCTTTAAAGACTAAGGTGCACCTGACCCAAGTCATGGTATTTTCAATCATGTCAAGTGGACTCTAAAGCTGCATAATGAGTAAAAAACACTCAAGAAGAATTTCTATCTTTGAATTATGGTGTTGGTGAAGAATTTCAAATATACCTTGAACTGACAGAAGAATGAACAGATCTTTCTTGGAAGAAGTATAGCCAGGATGCTCCTTAGAAGATGCGAAGATTGTGAGATTTTGTCTCACATACTTTGGACATATTATCAAGATGGACTAGTCCCTGGAAAAGGACATCATGCTTGGTTAAAGTACAACCATCACTCTTTGTTCGTTCCCAAATTTTTCCATTACACTTGACAGAAGCTCAGTATTCCCAAAGTACTGAATCCTCTTTGTCCCCTCCTACTTTCCTCCCTCTAACAAACTTTGGTTTTTATTTATTTGCCTATTTAGATATCTCACGTGTGTGGGATCATATAATATTGGTCCCTTTGTGACTGCCCTAGAGAAGTGCAGCCTAAATGCTCCTTGGAAGCGAGAATGGCCAGACTTCGTCTCACCTACTTTGGTCATGTTGTGAGAACGGACCATTCCCTGGAGAAGGATGTCATGCTTGGTAAGGTTGAGGGTCGATGAAAGAGGGGAAGGCCTTCAACGAGATGGATTGACATGGTGGCTGTGACAATGGGCTCAAGTATAGGAACGATCATGGATCTGGTGCGGGATAGGGTGGTGTATCATTCTGTTGTGCATAGGGTCGCTATGAGTCAGAAACAACTCAATGGCACCTAACAACAACATAATATTTGTCCCTTTGTGACTGACTTATTTCACTTAATGTAATGTTTTCAAGGTTTATCCATGTGGAATCTACTTTAACAAACACTTCAGGAGATGTTACCTGTGTTCAATCCCTGATTCTTGATTGACAGAGAAGCTGAGAGTGTCCTTGGTTTCACAGATGCTTCTATACTCTCCCCAGCCACTTGGGTGTGAGTAGCATGCTTCTGTACTGTTAACTATAAAGGAGTATCACTGAGCCTGGAGTGGGTCTCTAGGCACAGTCTCCTGCTCAGAATATCAGTATTTCCATGCTGTATCTGCTTTGTGTCTGTTGGGGGCCCTTAAACCCCAACAGAAATTTCTGCAGAAGCAACAGACAGCACATAGTGAACTTTTCCCCTGGGATCCTCTTACAATTTAGGACCTGCACTGTAGCCCTGGATCCTGGATTCTAGGCCCAGCTCTGTAACCCAGCCCTAGAGTTGATGTGGGACCATGGAGAAGCCTATTAGGTCCATAATCTCTCAAGCCGGATAGTCAACTAATTTCCCAGGTACTATACTTGAATGCTTTCAAGGATGGGGAAGGATTTACACTTAAAAGGAAGCCTTCTGTCTTTCAGAAGGTCTGCTACCAGACCCTAGAACAGACAGCAAAGTAATGCCAGTTAAATAAACTGCTTCAGGCCTATCTGGTCATCTCTTCTGAATACATCCTTTCCAGCTCCTTCCAATATATTTTGGAAACACAGATGTCCTTGCTCTGGTTAAATTCCTCATTGGCTCTCCAGTCCTCTTCGGATCTAGATCACAATCCCTATCAGTGGTCTACTGGCAGTTTCACCTCTTCTAGTCTTCCTGCCTCTTCAGAATCCAGTCACACAAATCTTGCTGCTTTTCAGTATGGCGATTCCTTCAAAAGTTGGAATTAGAAATACCATTTGACCCAGCCATCCCATTACTAGGTATATTCCCTAGAGAAATGAGAGCCATGACAAGAACAGATATATGCACGCCGATGTTCATCGCAGAACTATTTACAATAGCCAAAACATGGAAACAACCTAGATGTCCA